CACTCACCTCAGCCTCCCAAAGGCGCGGGATTACAGGATGAGCCACCGAGCCGTCTGTGTTGGCTTCTTTCAGTTAACATTATGTATGTGAGATTCATCCACGTGGTTGTGTGTGTCAGTAGGGTTTTAAAAAATTATGATGTAATTCCTCTGCATAATAAGGAAAATAAATTTTAAGACTGGGCGTGGTGGCGTGTCTGTAATCTCAGCACTTTGGGAGGTGGAGATGAGAGGATTGCCTGAACTCAGGGGTTCAAAACTAGCCTGGACAACTTGGTAAGACCACATCTCTAAAATAAATTTAAAATTAGCCAGGTGTGGTGGTGTGTGCGTTGTTCTGGCTACTTGGAAGGCTGAGGCAGAAGGATCCCCTGAGGCCAGCAGGTCAAGGCTACAGTAGCCATGATTGTGTCACTGCACTCCAGCCTGGGTGACAGAGTGAGACTCCGACTCAAAAATAACAGAAGAATTTTTTTTTTTAAAGAAAAAAATTATAGCCGGGATCGGTGGCTCAGCCTGTAATCCCATGCTTTGGGAGGCTGAGGTGAGTGGATTACCTGAGCCTGTGGGTTCGAGACCAGCCTGGGCAACATGTTAAGACCTTGTCTCTACAATAAATCACAAAATTAGCTTGGCATAGTAGTGCATGCTTGTAGTTCCGGCTACGTGGAAGGCTGAGGCAGAAGAATCACTGGAGCCCAGCAGGTCGACACTGGGGTGACCTTGAGCGTGCATGCCACTGCACTCCAGCCCGGGCTACAGAATGAGACTCCAACTCAAAATAAATAAATAAAAATAAAAAAAATTGATATAAACATTCTTGTACAGGAGTCAGTACAAGAATGTAAGTTCACTTAGCTTGCAAGTTATAGGTTCAAAAAAAGCAATATTTCTAATGATTATTTTATATAACACCAACTGGCCATCTCAAATATTATGATTACTGTTATTGATGTTATGATTTCAGTTGGAGTGTTGTAGAGGAGCTGGTGCTGGGGCTAAAGCCCACTGTTGCATGGGCACACCGACGGTCTCAGGCACAAGGTTCCTGAGGGATTTTGGTGTCCTCAGGCATGTAATAGTCCAGTGTGTATGAGCTATTTTTCCTGTTTTCCTCTCCTACCTGAGGTTCTGCAAAAGCCTTTTATGCTTTACCAGTCTTGACTTTTTTTTTTGAATCGAAGAGTCTCATTCTGTCGCTCAGGCTGGAGTACAGTGACATGATCAGAGCTACTGCAGCCTTGACCTGCTGGCCTCAGGCGATACTTCTGCCTCAGGCTTCCAATTAAATGAACTACAGGCCCATGCTACCACGCTTGGCTAATTTTTATTTTTATTTTATTTATTTATATTTATTTATTTATTTTTGAGCTGGAGTCTCACTCTGTCACCCAGACTGGAGTGCAGTGGCCGCTCCCGGCCACAGCAGCCTTGACCTGCTGGGCTCCGGCGATCCTTCCGCCTCAGCCTTCCAAGTAGCTGGAACTACAGGCACGCAATACCATGCCTGGCTAATTTTTTTATGTATTGTAGAGATGAGATCTCACCAAGTTGCCCAGGCGGGTCTCAAACCAGCGAGCTCAGGCAATCCACTCACCTCAACCTCCCAAAGCGCTGGGATTACAGGCTGAGCCATCAAGCCCACTAGCTTTTTTTTTTTTTTTTTAATTAGAATCTCGCTCTGTCGCCCAGACTGGAGTGCAGAGTCATGCTCACGGTCACTGCAGCCTTGACCTGTTGGGTTCAGGCTATCCTTCTACCTCAGTCTTCCAAGTAGCTGGAACTATAGGCCTGTGCCACCATGCCTGGCTAATTTTTTGATTTACTGTAGAGACAAGGTTTCATCATATTGTCCAGGCTGGTCTTGAACCCGTGGGTTCAGGGAATCCTCTCACCTCAGCCTCTCAAAGTGTTGGGATTAAAAGCATGAGCCATTGCACCTGGCTATGGTCAGTTCTTACACAGAAAGCCAGGGAAAGTTAGAGTGATAGTTCTAGTTTTCATGCCTGGTTTTAGGGAAGACGAGGCCTAGTTTCTATGATTTGCCTTGGGGAAGAGGAATTCTAGTTTCCAGGGCTTGCCTCAGGAGGGGAAAGGCTATCAAGAGGCAGAAGGGCAGGAGAATGTCAGAGAGACTTTACTTCTGAGGCCTTCCATTCTCTTTTTTTTTTTTTTTGAGTTGGAGTCTCACTCTCTCACCCAGGTTGGAGGGTAGTGGCACGCTTCTGGCCATTGCAGCCTCAACCTGCTATGCTCAGGTGATCCTTCTACCTCAGCCCCCCAAGTAGTTGGAACTACAGGCTCGCACCACCATGCTCGGTTGATTTTTTTTATTTATTGTAGAGATGAGGTCTCGCCAAGTTGCCCAGGCTGGTCTCGAACCCGTGGGCTCAGGCAATCCTCTCACCTCAGCCTCCCAAAGTGCTGGGATTATAGGTGTGAGCCACCATGCCTGGCCCCTTCCATTCCTTTTTAGTTCAAAATACTCAGCATATCAAGGCTTCATACTTTGGGGTATCATATTCTGAACTCCCAACAGTTCCTATTCCATTTCTTTAGCTTTCTTTCTACTCCACAAACATTAATTGCGCACCTTGTCCAAGGCATGGGGGATACAGATGTGAAAAGTGAACCCCTGTTGTCCAGAAGCTCAAGGACAATAAAGTGTGATTAAGTTTCATGACAGTGGGCTTATGGCTGTCCACAGAAAAGCCATCAAACCTGGCCTGGAGGTGATTCAGGCATTCATTATGGAGGAAAAGAAGGTGGAAGAAGCACCCCAGATGAAGGAAGAACCCGTGCAAAGACTGGAGATGAGAGAGAGAATGGAGTGTGCTGAGATGTGCAGCTGGGTACAAATGCAAAGAGCAGAGGTGAAGCTCCAGAGGTGAGCTGAAGTATTTCCTGAAGCACTTAAAACCAAGAAAACAGCCAGGCTCGGTGGCTCAGCCTGTAATCCTGCGCCTTGGGAGGCTGAGGTGAGTGGATTGCCTGAGCCCGCGGGTTCGAGACCCACCTGGGCAACTTGGCGAGACCTCATCTCTACATTAAATAAAAAAATCAGCCGGGTGTGGTAGTGTGCGCCTCTAGTTCCAGCTACTTGGAAGGCTGAGGCAGAAGGATCGCCGGAGCTCAGCAGCGGCTACTGCACTCCAGTCTGGGCGACAGAGTGAGACTCCAACTAAAAAAAAAAACAACAAGAAAACAAGTTTGGATTTTTAAAATATGATAAGGAGTCACCAAAAATTTTAAGTGAGAAAGAGATCCACCTAGGTTGGTGAGTTAGAAAAATAAGCCTTGGAAGATACATGAAAAGTGGATGGGAGTGTAACTGAGTACCTCATTTTAAATATTTTTTCTCTTCTCTCTCTCCCTCTTAAAATGTAGGCTTGAAACATGCTTGAGAGGTTTCTTTCCTCCTTTTCCCCATGAAACTCCCTTGCACTGTGCTCACTTATCTAATTTTGTGTTTGTGTAGAAGTTCCAGGGGCTAATCTTGAAACAAATCTGATGGCAGTGGAATTCTCCTCCACTTGGAGATGATCTCGAAGTTGCAGTGAATCTATAACTCCAAGATGATTCCAGTTCATATACTAGACAGGAAAATAATTTGAGACATCATTAGAACAAGTCACCTAGGTCAATGCCCTTTGTCACTTCCGCTTGCTTCCCATACCAAGTTCTCACCTTAAACCCCTCATTTAAGTCTCAAGAAATGGTCTGTTACAGAGGCATGAGCCTGGTCATTTTCCCAACTGCTTGCTTTTGGAATGAAGTCACTATTCTTTCACTATCTCTCGTCTCTCGAGTTTGGCATCAAGCGGTGAGCAGCTAAGCTTGCTTTCAGCTATATGAGAGTTAGAGAACTGGAGAGAAAACCAGAAACATGGAGCTCATTCAGGAAGGTTTTGCAATAACCCAGCAAGAAGATGACAGTGGCAAATCAGCAACAGGAGAATGGAAAGGAGAGAGAGGTTTTAGGCAAAACCTATAGGTCATGGTGGCTG